TTTGGAAAGCATTTGAAGGAAATACAGTTAGGAGTCTTTCTCCAAACCCCAGTTCAGTTCAGTTCAGTGGCTCAGTCATGTCTGACTGTGACCCCATGAACTGCAGCATGCCAGGCCTCCCTATCCACCACCAACTCCTGGAGTCTACCCAAACTCATGTCCATTGAGTCGGTGATGCCATCCAACCATCTCATCCTTTGTCGTCCCCTTCTTCTCCCACCCTCACTCTTTCCCAGCATCAGGGTCTTTTCAAATGAGTCAGCTCTTCACATCAGGTGACCAAAGTATTGGAATTTCAGCCTCAACATCAGTCCTTCCAATGAACACCCAGGGCTTATCTCCTTTAGGATGGACTGGCTGGATCTCCTTGCAGTCCAAGGGACTCTCAAGAGTCTTCTCCAACACCACAGTTCAAAAGCATCAGTTCTTCAGTGCTCAGCTTTCTTTATAGTCCAACTCTAACATCCATACATGACTACTGGAGAAACCATAGCCTTGACTAGACAGACCTTTTTTGGCAAAGTAATGTCTCTGCTTTTTAATATGCTATCTTTATAGTCCAACTCTCACATCCATACAGGACTACTGGAAAAACCATAGCTTTGACTAGATGGACCTTTGTTGGCAAAGTATTGTCTCTGCTTTTTAATATGCTGTCTAGGTTGGTCATAATTCTTCTTCCAAGGAATAAGTGTCTTTTAATTTCATGGCTGCAGTCACCATCTGCAGTGATTTTGGAGCCCAAAAAAATAAAGTCAGCCACTGTACCCACTGTTTCCCCCACCTATTTGCCTTGAAGTGATGGGACTGGATGCCGTGATCTTAGTTTTCTGAATGTTGAGCTTTAAGCCAACTTTTTCACTCTCCTCTTTCACTTTCATCAAGAGGCTCTTTTGTTTTTCTTCACTTTCTGCCATAAGGGTGATGTCGTCTGCATATCTGAGGTTACTGATATTTCTCCCGGCGATCTTAATTCCAGTTTATGCTTCATCCAGCCCAGCGTTTCTCATGATGTTTTCTGCATATAAGTTAAATAAGCAGGGTGACAATATACAGCCTTGACATACTCCTTTTCCTATTTGGAGCCAGTCTGTTGTTCCATGTCCAGTTCTAACTGTTGCTTCCTGACCTGCATACAGGTTTCTCAAGAGGCAGGTCAGGTGGTCTGGTATTCCCATCTCTTTCAGAACTTTCCATAGTTTATTGTGATCCACACAATCAAAGGCTTTGGCATAGTCAATAAAGCAGAAATAGATGTTTTTCTGGAACTGTCTTGCTTTTTTGATGATCCAGCAGATGTTGGCAATTTGATCTCTGGTTCCTCTGCCTTTTCTAAAACCCCAGTTGGGAGCTACCAAAAGAGAATCACCTGAAAGGGAGGATGAAAGACTGCAGGGAGGAGAAATGGGTCCCATGACCTACCTTGTGGAATTGTCAGATTGGGCATGGGCACATCATGCAGGGTTTAGACACATACAGGTGCTGTCACACACCTGATGGTATAAGCCAAGTGGTTCATTTATGGGAGAGCCTCTGATCCAGAAGAATCTCCCATTCACTGTCTTAAAAGCCAATATCAAGAGATTTGCTATAATTAGCAAGACAGTATTTCTGCAGGGTTAAAACAGGACTGTCTTTAAAATCTAAGTGTAAATTCATTTTAATCATCTCCTTTCTCATCCTATGGGTTTCCCTGGTGGCTCAGATGGTAAAGAATCAGCCTGCAATGCAGAAGACCCAGGTTCAATTCCTGGGTCAGGAAGATGCCCTGAAGAAGGGAATGGCTACAAACTCCAGTATCCTTGCCTGGAGAATTCCATGGACAGAGGAGCCTGGTAGACTGTGGTCCATGGGGTCGCAAAGAGTTGGACGTGACTAAGCAACTAAGATGTTTATTTACACTTTCACTTTTCTCATCTTATGCCTCAGCTGCCACCAAGAAATGGGTATTTTGAGCAGGGCACCTGAGGGAAAGGACTGATATTTATCTTTGAAGCTGTGGACACAACAGGAAGGCCAGAGTAGCTTGGCTCTGTAAGGAGACTTCAAAGGAGGGAAAAGGAATAGGAGGAAATGGACTAAAAGGAAATGTTGATATGTCTTAATGCAGAACAGGACTCTGTGAATAAAAGACTGTCCCTGAAGGAGTTATGGGAAACTCCAAGGATCTGAAATCATCTCACTAGCATTAGCATTCAAAATTCACTTTTTTTTCTTTTTCTCTTAATTTAAATTCTTCAAATAAGGGACACACACTCCCCTCTCTAGCTGATTTACAGAAGAGTGAAATTGCCAGACAAGGTAATTTGGGGCATGCCCTGCTCATATATCCTTATTAAGCTCAACCCAAGGCCTGCCTTGAGAAGAGAGTCCCCTTAATCCTGTCATTGTTGCTATTTGGAAGAAATATGGAACAACATATAGGCATCATAATTAAGATGGATTTTTCTGGAACTGACCACATTCACAAGAATCACCATTCATGTTCATATTAGCTGCTTTTTTCACCTCTCAGATTAAGTTTGAGAAACTATCTTTCTAGTTTAACTCCCCCAGCTGTACCCTTTATCATTCTCCATATATCATCCTCATTCCCTAGAGATGCATTATTCTAATGTATTTTCAGATATGATTAAGGAACATAGGCCCTAAAGTCAGACTTCTCAATTTCAAATCCCAGCTGACCTTCTGCCTGTGTGACTTTAGTTGAATTATTCAATCTCATTAAATCACAGTTTCTTAATTTGTAAAATGGGGGTGTTGATAGGAATCATATAACTTATTTTTTATTAGAATACATTAATAGTTGATTTATAGTGTGTTAGTTTAAATGTACAGCAAAGTGAATCAGTTTTACTTAGATCCACTCTTTTGTAAATTATTTTCCCATACAGGTATTTGCCCATACAGAGTATTAAGTAGACTTCCCTGGGCTATACAGTAGGAATCATATGACTCTTGATGTTACTAATGATGATTAAATTTATGTAGACTGTTTAGTACAGAGCCTGGCTCAAACCAGACACTGAATGTGAGTACATTGTATTATAATTATAGGAAAATGTTAAAAGCTTTGGAGGTACAGATAATACTTTCCCACTTAACAACCATCATCTCTGTATGTGTTTTAATTTCTTTGAGACACACTGAATCTAACAGGGAATATGCTTCAGAGACAAAAAATACTCTCATCAATCATTGTACCATTTTGCCTTCTTTGGTTCTGCAATATTTAACTTTACTCTTTCTTTATATTTATGAGATTCTCTGCTAAATTTCAGGGCACTGTTTGCCAGAGTAGATTTTTAAGCCTATCCATCAGTTTGTCATGACTCTGATGGGTCTCTAGAGCAGAGAGAAAAAGAAAGACATAAAATCAAGATCTTTACGAGGCTGAGGCAAAAGAAAAAAATTGTGCAGGAAATAAATAACACTGGGCTAGCAGTTCTATATCTCTTTATCTATCACTGTATTAGTGCATAGCTATTAAGTTTGTGACAACAACTTTAATCATTCTTTTTTTAATTTGGAAATTGAGTAATTGAATAAAATAACCTCTAAGACTGTTCGCACGACGCTTCCCTGGTGGCTCAGGTGGAAAGAATCTGCCTGAAATGCAGGAGACACTGGTTCAATCCCAGGACTGGGAAGATACCCTGGAGAAGGAAATGGCAGCCTACTCCAGTATTATTGCCTGGAGAATTCCATGGACAGAGGAGCCTGGTGGGCTACAATCCGTGGGATCGCAAACAGTAGGATACAACTGAGCAGCTAACACTTTAACAGTGTTCCCACTTTAAGATAATTTGGTTTTGCTATTTTGCTTCCAGGAGCTATGAGATAGTTACTATGTAAGACGTAAAGAGACCTGAAACTTGATTCCTGCTGGATAAGTTAAAGGATGACTTGAGTAGGTAAAGAGGACAGTAAAGGGCATTTTGGACCTCTGGACCCAACTTGAGAGGGCCAAAAAAAATGAGCAATGACTTGGAGAAAATTTTTTAGTGTGTCTGTTTACAGCAGAAGTATTAATGTTAGAAAGCAAGAGTAGGTTTAGCATTGGGCAAGACCCTGCATGTCAAACTCTTAAGAAGCATTTGGCTGCTACTGGAGTATTTTGAGCAGGTGAGTATACTGCAATGTCAAAAGGCATCGTCAGAGAAAAAAATCACTGGTCAAAGCTGACAAAGCCAGTAGTTTGTAAATTTGAGATTCTCATTAGAAAATACTACTCCAACACTCAGGAGAGAAAAAGATTCGTATTATTAATATTTAGGCTGTACCTGTGTACATGTAGGCTCTACACGGGTGCTCCATTGCTCACTCATGTCCGACTCTTTGTGACCCCATGGACTGTAGTCCGCCAGGCTCCCCTGTCCACGGGATTCTACATGCAAGAATACTGGGTTGCCACTACAATATTGTAAAGTAATTAACCTCCAAATAATAAAAATAAATGGAAAAAAAAGAATACTGGATTGGGTTGCTATGCCTTCCTCTTCTCTTATGTCTCCTGCTTTGGCAGACAGGTTCTTTACCACTAGCGCCACCTGGGAAGCCCATATGATACTGCATCAAAGAACAAAAGGACAATTCAGGTCATCTTATTTTAATATGGATGTTTGGATGAACTTTAACTTAGTTTTAAATTCAGGCAAAACAATCTGCGTATGTAGACTCAGCCTCCATCTCATGTTTTCATGATTTAAAGCTTCCTAGTGGACGTCAAGTGATATTTCGTCACTAAGAACAAGTGCAGCCCTGTCCTTTGGGTCTTTTCCTGTAAATGAATTGCTCATGTGGACCAAGTGTGAATGGCTTTTGAGGATATTATCAAGGATGTGATCAGTCAAATGTGAAAACTCAAATGCATTTGGAATCGTTTGGAGCTTTTTCGAGATACAATAAAGGTGTTTGTTGGAGGATTTGCTTTATTTTCCTATCCAAGAGGTCCATTGACTTGCAAATAACGTGTATGAATCTCTTGTGTTTTCTTCCAGGGTCTTTCTTTCCTGATTTCAGGCCCTCAGAAACCGTTTTTAAAATAGCATTTTGGCTCGGTTACCTAAACAGCTGCATCAACCCCATTATATACCCATGCTCCAGTCAAGAGTTTAAAAAGGCCTTTCAGAATGTCTTGAGATTCCAGTGTCTGCAACGAAAGCAGTCCTCCAAACATACCCTGGGCTACACGCTGCATGCACCCAGCCACACCCTGGAGGGACAGCACAAAGACCTGGTTCGCATTCCAGTGGGATCTGCAGAGACCTTCTATAAGATCTCCAAGACGGATGGGGTCTGTGAATGGAAAATTTTCTCTTCCCTACCCCGCGGATCTGCCAGGATGGCGGTGGCCAGAGACCCATCAGCCTGCACCACTGCCCGGGTGAGAAGTAAAAGCTTTTTGCAAGTGTGCTGTTGCCTGGGGCCCTCGACCCCCAGTCGTGGAGAGAATCATCAGATTCCAACCATTAAGATCCACACCATCTCCCTCAGCGAAAATGGGGAGGAAGTCTAATGAACAGGAAAGGTCGGAAGGATGGGAGGGTGATCCTAGGCAACCACTCTCCACTTCCTTCTGGAAGGCCAGCTCACATTCCGTGGATGCTGAGACACAGCCAGTAAACCAGGGAATGGGCTGGGGAGGAGAGCTGACTCTGGGGCAGAGGTAGGGCTTCGAGACAAGGGAGGATGTCATACCGCCATCCAGCTCACTATGATGGGAAACAGCATTTCCTTGAGGCTAATGCTTTCTGGGTCATTCTCTGAGCCTGCTTTCTATGCCTGCCCCTTTCAACGACAAACACCATGGGAAACAGAATTTCATACACAATCCAAAAGATGATAAATATAGGATTATGATTTCATCATGAATATTTTGAGCATGCACTCTAAGTTTGGAGCTATTTCTTGATGGAGTGAGGGGATTTTATTTCCAGGCTAAACTTGTGAAAGCCACATTGGATTTTTATGGGGAGAAGGCCTGGAGAGGAAGAGCCTTAAGATGGTGGCCAATATCCAGACGCATTATTTTTAGAGCAAGTTTTACAGTCCACCCTTTCTCAGCTTGGGTGAAACTTGACAGTGAGATTTTATTTACCTTTTGCTGCTGCTTGACAGGATACTGCTCCCAATTCCCTAAGGGTGAGGGTGAGGGACACTTATTATGTCAATGGTCGTCTGCACTTGGGTCTAGAGAGTGTTGAAAGAACCAGTTGGGAAAAGGATGGCTTTTCCTAATGGAAGACAGTAAGGATGAGAGTCAGTTCGTCAACTGACAGTTCTGTGAACAGAATTCCATTAAGTGGTTCCAAGATCAGGTGGAGGAAGGCTTCTTGTGTAGCATATTTAAAGATCAAGAGTTTGGGGTGGGCTGGGTGCTACTTTCAAGCTAAGACAGAGGCTGCAAAACTACTCCACAGCCTTTTCAACAAGGCCTAGAAAGGCTTTTCTTGGCAAATCACTTAACCTTTTCCAGAATTCCATTATGAAAATCCAGGGCATATAATATGCTGAATGGCATATCACCACTGCCATTTTTTCTCACCTGCTTCACTACTACATGATGAGTGAGGTCCCCAGGACACACGGGACATGCCAGAATAAGCCTGATGATTCAAGTACCTCCTTCCTGAACTCTGAAAGATACACGTAGGAAGATGCTTTCTGGTCACTTTAAGCCCATCAAAAGCAGAAGTTTGCAAATTGTTTTTGACAGAAGCCTATTTATGCTGAGAAAAGATCCAGTCACCCATTTATTGAACCTATTCCCACTTTTTACAAGAACTTGGTGGGGGGGAGTGATTTTTTGCTTTCTGTATATCAAAGTTTGGTAAACCTCAAGAATTCAATATATTACAAAGATACAGATGGTGACTATCTGTAAGAACTAAAATATTTTCACATTCCACAATAGGAATTTAAAAGAAGATTTATGTTTTTGAAATAATGCTTGACTAGAATCACTGGTCTATAACTTCTAACCATTTCTATGGTCTATTTCCCCTATTTGGGATAATTCCCTCTAAGAATTTAAAAACAGATTATTGCCATTTTTACTTTTTCATTCATTTATTTATTTATTTATTTATTTTCACCACCTCACATGGCTTGCAAGATTTTAGTTCCCTGACCAGGGATTGAACCCAGATCCTTGGCAGTGACTATGCAGAGTCTTAACCACTGGACCACCAGGGAATTTCCTATTACAGACATTATTTAACTGTCACTGCAAAGGTAGTAGCACCATCATCTTTTCCTTCTTTCCTTGCAGCAAAGTGATAATTTCCTGAAATCCTTCTAAAAGGCTCATTTGTTTGCATACTGCCATGATAGCTATGTTTGCACATGGGTTGGAGTTTGGTTGTTGGTTGTCTTTTGACATAGAATGTTACTGCTTTCTCAGTCCTTTCTGGAAAGTGCCTCGTTGTTGTCCAGTTAGACACTCTGCCTTTTGCTTGTAACTTGGACTCTGGCAGTAGATGCTTGGGGGTTTCTAGACTCTTCTGGTCTGTTTGCACATCTCACGATGGCTCTTCCAGATGTGGGTGTCATGTTGTGCATGGAGGCACGCGAGAAGGACTTGACTACATAAACCTTGCTTCAGTTTCATTGTTGAGAATAACTTCTTTTAGGATCTGAATTTTTAAAACTACTTATACCAGGCTCACCCTTACAGGAAGAACAGCCCCATGAAAAGAAGGGTAACAGTTTTTCTTCGCCAGAGTATGACTCCATGTTTGAGCTGGTCTTTAAATACCTCTGGAGACAAATTTAAATTTTAAATACTAAAAAGCTTAGGGTCACCAGAGAACTAGCTTAAATGCGACTTCTAATCAAAGACAACAATTTGAAAACCTTCCAGTCATCAGATAAAATCCATGACAATTGTATTCATGTAAAACTATCCATAAATAATTGTCTGCTACACGCTTCTCCATCCCCAGGCCCTCCAGGGAGGCAAACTTTAACATTTTTTTCCTTTCCCATGACTTGACATTAGGTAGAAACACACCAGTTTTACGAAAAATTGATAATGTCACCCAAGACTTAGTCAAAGTGGGATAAACAATACACGAGTTATTTTTTTACTCATCCACAAAAATCTCTGTACCTTGGAGCATGCCAAAAACTCTCTAAAATTGTCACAGTTAAACAAATGATCGTCATATTTATACTCACATGTTTACTGCTTCTATTTGGAGTTTGGAGAATGTACCCAGAGTAACAGTGATCAAAATATCTTCTCTAATGTGTTATAAAAAGCAGTTGCTTTTGGGATTGTCTAAACATCAGCAAAAAATCAACTTGACATTATGGGATAGGTGAAACTTGAGTTTCTTCTGCAATTCAAATCGCATGCATTAAGAGAGACCTTGAACCTCTTTATTCAGGAATTTCCCCGGACCTTTGCAAGGATTTCAGAAAAGCGTTTTACTTGTTACGCTTTCTTCATTTTACCTCCCATAAGGGAGGTCTCAGCCAACACTGCTTCTGCTTATAATCGCTTGGGGTCTGCTAACATTCTCCAAAAGGCTTCTAATGCCCTTGCCAGCTGCTTGGATTGGTCCCTCCATAGTGGACAGTGTTATTTGGGTAAATAAATATTTTCTTAAGGTTTTCTTCTTAGGTGTTACTATGTGCCAAGCATTGGCAGAACATTTCACATCCATAGTCTCTAAATATCATAGCAGTTCTACTGTTCTTACTTGAGACCCAAGAAATTTGATAGTTAAATGTGATGAATGATTCACCCAAGGCCAAGGAGGAACCATGATTTGATCCTGGGTCTTCCAAACCCTAATGTCTACATGTTTTCCACCAACACCTCAGCCTCCTAAGTAGTAAAAGTCAAAGCCCCCAAACTGGAGTTGGATATGCTGATGACACTAAACCATTTTTGTCATTGTTATTGTTCAGTTGCTAAGTCATATATGACTCTTTGCGACCCCATGGACTAGCCTACTAGGCTCCTTTGTCCATGGGATTTCCCAGACAAGAATACTGGAGTGAGTTGCCATTTCCTCCTCCAGGGGATCTTCCTGGATCATGGATGGAATCCGTGTCTCCTGCATTGGCAGACTGATTCTTTACCACTGAACCACCAGGGAAGCCACTATACTCAAACTTTTGAATGTTTTGTTTCTTTGGGATTTGCTTCCAATTAATCTCAGTAAATATGCCGCCAATTTTCCAGCCTAGCCAAACCCAAGAGCAGGTCATAATTGTAAGGATTTGGCACCTACAATTCTAACTATCAAACTGCACCCCTTTTGTAGGGTATTGTGACCTCGAATGTTACTGAGGCTTTGCTTGACGGACAAATCATATCAAACTGGGTGAAGATGGACATGTAAGAGAAGGCAGAAGAGGCTTCCTTGGCTTAGAACAGCAAACACATTTGTGGATACAAAACGCATTGTGCAGTGTGTTGAAGTTATTGATGACCAGCCACAGTTCATCAGCACACTTTAGGGAAGTATAGCCCTTTTTAAAATAAATAAAAAATAAATACAATATCACTTTCTTTCCTGTACTCCAAAAATAATTTTTTTGAATTGGAGAGAGAGAAGGAATTAGAGATACTTCACCAGGAATTATAGAGTCCAGAGAGTATGTCAAACATGTGAATTTCATGTCTGTCACCAGGAAGAAACGGTTCAGAAAGCTGGTCTTCAAGTACCCAGAGACCTGGGCAATCTTTGAAAATGAAGACTCAGTTGGTAACTATAGCTACTTCTTAGATGGCATCCTCTTGCTTCTGGATTTCACAAATGAAAACTTTTAAGTCCTGAGCATCTTGGTTACCCCCACCCCGCAAAATGAATCATCACGCAGACCTTCTGGCCCCATAAGTTTCATGATTATGGCCTGGGAGTCAGAACATGTTAGGAACCCTTTGCTTGGGCAAGTAATTATTCACTCTTTAATCACAGCTACTTAATCACAGCTTGACAAACATTCTCACTTGCTTCGGGGGCTGTTTCTGCTCAGATCGTCCTGCCAAAAGAGACGCTGCCTCTGTGCATGAGTACTTGTTCAGTTAATTAAGGAGAGAGCTCTGCTCGTCAGTGAAGGGAGAAGGGAGCCCAAGCGCATGGAAGGTAAACTCTGCAAGCAAAACCAGGGAGACTGAAAAAGAAGGCAGCAGTGGTAAATATGGTGGCATCCAAGGTGTGCTCATTTGTTACTCTAATTTCTTTTTGCACTACTAGGACTTTTAACCATCAAACTAGCTGCACACAGCTCTGGTGGAGCTCCGGTTGGAACACTGTTGACATCTGCTCCCTGTCTGCAAGCTGTGCTGTGGAGCAGGGCTGAGCCCAGGCTGCTGTGGGGTCCATCATCTTCCAAAAGCAAGGGCAGCAGTGGGGGCCTCTGGCCCTCCAAGTCCCTGCAAGATGAGCGAGTACAGATGACTGTGATGGGGCCAGGCTGTCAAGAGCAAGCTGAGATTCGAGCAGAGGATGCCGGATCTTGCCAGCAATCCTGTCAGCGTTACCTCTTTCCCTCCATCCAGACCTCAGTGTCTCTGGGGCTGTGGATGGATCTTGTCTGCTCTGTACAGGAAAAGATCATGTCTTGGCTACTGCAGCATGAACTACTGAGTCTTCTACCTCGAAGGAAGGTCATGACATTGGAAGAGGGCTTTGGAGGAGGAGGAAGACTTACCTTGGACATTGCTCAAAGCTGTTCGGTAATGCGTTGCTGCAACTGCTCAACAAGAAGCTTCCCTAAAGCTGTTGCTGATTCATTTCCAAAGACAAAACAACTGTCTTTCCTCTACTTGTGGCTCAGGAGCCACTACGTTACTTGCCCTCCATAGCATAGTCAACGTGGCATGTCATGAGCTAGAAATGATTATTGCGAAACTATGAGGAGTCCATATTTAATTAGGTATAAATTCTGAGAACAAATTTGTACTATATTTGGGCGGGGGGGGGGGGGGCAGAAATGAAGGCTCTGATCTACTAGAAAGCTTGAATACAGTAACTGCATTCTGATGTAATGGGCTTCCGCAGTGGCTCAGCAGTAAAGAATCTGCCTGCAATGCAGGAGACACTGGTTTGATCCCTGGGTCTGGAAGATCCCCTGGAGAAGGGCATGGCAACCCACTCCAGTATTCTTGCCTGGAGAATTCCATTGACAGAGGGATCTGGCAGGCTATGGTCCATGGGGTCGCAAAGACTTGGATACAATTGAAGTGACTGAGCATGCATACACATTCTGATGTGATAGAAAAGAAACTACAGACAGTCCCAACAGAAATTTAATATTTTCTTCTTTTTATATATTTCATATGAGTCCAAAGTACATTTGTGTATCTCAAGTCCTACCCTGTGAGGTAGGAAGAGAAAGAAGGAATAATCTTTATTAGCATAAGAAAAGCCAAGGGGAGGGATGAGGTTAAGCTGAATGATTTCTTTGAATATCTTCAAATCCAGTCTCTGACTTCTTTTTCCAAGATGCCTTCAATATCCCCAAGGTCCACTGCGTTTCTCAAGACCCTGACATTCACATTTCACTCACTCACCTCTGAGCCGTATTTTCAGCTCTGTTTGTACCTTCTCTCCCGCTGTATCTCTGCTGGTGGCTAGGCTGATCAAGATTGTTCTAGGGGCTGAGTGCATATTTGTCTAGGCTTCTCTCATTGGCTAAAAGACAACCAGATGTTATTCTGCTCATTCTCCCTAGGTAGGCAGCAGCAGAGCTAAGGAAATAAGCAGGGCAGGAGGGGCTCTTGGCTTGCTCAACGGGGTCACCTGTCAGGCAAAGACAGAAGTGATTGACACCTTAAGGACGTCAGGAACGCAAAAGTCCCAGAGAGAGTTTTGGGAATGTTCATTTTCCTGTGAGCCTGAGAGTTGTATACACCCTGATCATCGCCATCAGCAGGTTGTTCACTTCTTCTCCTGTACCAGGCGCTGCATTTGGCACAAGAAGAAAAAAAAAAAAAATACAGAAAGGCACAGACAGTCCCCAGCTTGTGATCTGAGTGTGTTCCAAACTCATCTGTTGCATTTTTCCAAGAGGCATTGTTATAAATGGGGGTGGGGGAGGATGTTCTCAGATGAACCAAAAGCAAAAAATAAAAATCTATTTAATATACACCTGGGTTTGGCCAACATTTTCGGCAAATGGCTTGATAGTAAATAATTTCGGCATTGTGAGCCATACAGTCTCTGTCACACATTCTTTGTTTGAAATTTTTTGTGGGGAAGGGAGACCCTCTAAACATGTACAAACCATTCTTCGTCCACAGCCTGTACCAAGAAAAGCAAAATAACAACAGACCATGGGCCATAGTTTTCTATCCTTGATCTCTGCCATCACTTGTTTACAGCATAGTACAAACAATGCTAATCACTGGATTTGGTTGTTCAATAGCAAGTTGGGTTTTTTTTTAATGTTCAATAAACAAATCTACACTTGATTACATCAGCATCTCCAAACTGTACAAATTGTTAAGTAAAGTGACAGCATTCATGTTCAAGGCTGGAGCCTGCTCCAATATGACCTGCCCACCCAAAAGACAGACTCCAGTATGTCACTGTGATTTTCAATCTCCACTCCTACTGCTGTATTCTGCAGAGCCAGCAGTTCAGCAGAAGCCCAAGGCCATCCACATGGGTCTTTTTAGCTCTTCCCCTCATTGGAAAAATACCCCAGCACAGTCTGGCCGACTCTGAGAGCAGCAACAGCCAACCACAGCCACTTGACCAAGGCCAATGTGAAGTTCCTCCCGGACTGCTGGAGGCTGCTGTAGGGAGGTCCTCACCGGGCTCCCTGGGGAGGCCTCCTGACCACAGCACAAGTACCCAGGCAATTAGGGGTCCACTACTGGAGCTCACCAGGACCTGGGGTCCAGAGGAGGTGCTGGACAGGCAAGGAGGTCAAACCAGTCAATCCTAAAGGAAATAGACCCTGAATATTCATTGGAAGGACTGATGCTGAAGCTGAAACTCCAATACTTTGGCCACTTGATGCGAAGAGCTGACTCATTGGAAAAGACCCTAATGCTGGGAAAGATTGAGGGCAAGAGGAGAAGGGGGCAACAGAGGATGAGATGGCTGGATGGCATCACTAACTCGATGGACATGAGTTTGAGCAAGCTCCAGGAGTTGGTGATGGACAGTGAAGCCTGGCGTGCTGCAGTCCATGGGGTCGCAAAGAGTGGGACACGACTGAATGACTGAACAACAGGTTACCAACAGAAGCTCTCCTTCTCCTCCCCCACCTCCCCTTCCCTTCCCCTTCCCCTCCCCCTCCTCTTTTTCCTCTCTTCCTTTCTGTTTAAGTCTGAAATGACCTAACTGGACTCAAAATGGCGTTACTATGGAAACATATTTAGCCCTCCCCTGGGATAGCAGAGCTCTATTTTTCTGAGCTGGGGCTTTGTGGGAGGGGTTTCCTCCCCATCCCCTCCAATTCTGATAGGCAGTGGGGGGAGAAAGACAGTCCCAGCTGGAAACAAGGTGTGCAGTTCCCTTGGTCCAGGACAGGGTGTGCACGGCACTAAGAGATGAGACTTGGCAGAGAGAGGGATGGGATGCGGCAGGGGGCAGACCTGATGGGGAAGGACCTGGGAGCTTGGAGACCGGTCAGGCATAAATAACACTGCCAGCGGCAGACATAGAATGGAGGCCTGGGCAGACACTGCTCCTGCTTGGCAGCTTCCTCTCCCTCCTCCCAGCCCTGTCTGTCTTCACCGTCTCCCTTCTCTGCTTCTCCTGTCCTTCCTCATCACTTCCTCTCTCTGCATCATTCCACCCTCCACCTCTTGTGAAACCTATGATGATGTTGGGGTGGGTGCCCTGACTCCAGAGGGTGCCAGTTCCAATGGGGTACAATGCTGGCAAGCTGGTGCTTCCCTCAGCTGCTGCACCCCTCCCACGGCAGACCACCACCTTCCAGTGAGTCCAGGGCAGGAGAGGCCCCCAGGCTGAGAGCACAGGGGAAGCCTCCCCAAGGAGGACCCTTACCGTCTGGCAGGATTGCTGTCTTTGTCTTCTTATACTATTAGTTCCAAAGGAAAGCTACAAGCACCATGTGCAGTCACATCTCAGAAAAGAGTCAGGAGTGGTATTTGCTCTGCCCCACCCCTCGCCCCAGACATGTGTCTCTTCTTTTACCAGCTGCTGCATCCCCCTCTGTGATGTTCAGAAGTCTTTACAGACCCTACAATGCCCCCTTCTCTTCCTCTTCTTCATCATTTGTCTCTGGATTTTGTTGTTTCTTCCCCTTTTCCTTTCCCTCTGATGGTCTCCAGGGTCTTGATTAATGCCATAAAGTAAACTTGGTTTCATGTCAGCATGAGGCAGTGGTTATTCCCCCAGAAGGGATGCTATGCTGTGCTAAGTCACTTCAGTTGTGTCCAACTCTTTGTAGCCCATTGGATGGTAGCCCACCAGGCTCCTCTGTCCGTGGGATTCTCCAGGCAAGAATATTGGAGTGATACTGTAGGTAGAACTCAACTGGATGCAAGGTGTTCCTTCATTCCTGATGCTCCTATCCCCATCTTTATCCCTCCCAGCCCGTCCATTCCTGGACTGTGTTCCCGGATTCTTTCTCTTCTTGATTCATATTCACCAGGAGCCTTCTTACTGTAAGAAAAGGATCCTCTCCTACCAAACATGTGCCTGCTTTTGCTGACACAGCTCTTAGCATTTGTAATCCCTCCATTTGCTAGGGCCATCATAACAAAGGACCACACACTACTTAAACAGCAGAAATTTATTCTCTCCAAGTCTAGAGGCTGGAAGTTCAAAATCAAAGTGTTGGCCGAGTTGGTTCTTCTGAAGCCTCTCTCCTGGACTTATAGATGGCCAGCTCCTTCTTGTATCTGCACACAGCCTTCTCTGGATGTCTGTGCCCTAGCTTCCTCCTCTTAGAAGGACACCAGTCCTATTGGATCAGAGCCCATGCCAATGACCTCATTTAACTGCAGGTACGTCTCTTAAGACCATACCTCCAAATACAGTCGCATTCTAGGGTACTAGGAATTAAGATTTCAGCATACAAAATTTAGGGGAGAAACAATCCATCCCCACAGTCTTCTCTCTTCACATAAAAATGTATCTATAATTCTTTTCCCAAATCAGAAGTTCAAATGCAGTACTTCCCAAAGACCCTCTCCACGATCCTACAGCAGTTATCTATCACAGGCATTTGGCAACTACTTGTGCACTTCGGGGGCTTCCCTGGTGGCTCAGATGGTAAAGAATCTGCCTGCAATGTGGGAGACCCAGGTTCAATCCCTGGGTCAGGAAGATCCCCTGGAGGAGGAGATGGTAACCAACTCCAGTATTCTTGCCCAGAGAATCCCATGGACAGAGGAGCCTGATGGGCTACAGTCCATGGGGTCCCAAAGAGTCAGACACGACCGAGTGACAAACACACTTGTGCATGGTATTGTGATCTTTCCGTTGCTTTTTAAAATCTATAACTCCTTTTTCACTGTAAAATGTGCTTTACACCCTACCTTTATTGGTTGCATGTTCTCAACTAGATGGAAACTCTGGGAAAGCAGAAACTGTCATATAGTTCCATATGTGTACAGCAGTCCTCAGCACCTAGGTGTCATCTCTGAACACAGGCTTTCCTAAGCAGGCCAGGAGAAAGTGGGCAGAGAGAAGCCAGGGACCACTAATCCAAGCACTAGTAAGAGGCAGGGGCTGGGAGCTGGGAGGCCAGGACCACAGGTGCTGAGGAACACCAGATAATCCACCAGGTAAGTCCAGGTAAGAGTTCATGGCTTCTGAAAATTTGCTGCAGGAATGTAATCAGAATGCAGAGCCCAGCAGTGGGGAATCCCAGGCTAGTTGTCTCCAGACCCACATGCAAACATGGAATCACCCTCAGAGCCACCAATGAATGGAACAGACTCTAGACCCTGAGAAAGGGTGAGACAGAGCAGGATTGGATCAAGAACCAAAGCCAGGGAACTCCCTGGTGGTCCAGTGGTTAAGACTTGACCCTTTAACTGCCAAGGGCTCAGGTTCAATCCTTGGTCAGGGAACTAAGATCCTGCAAGCCCTGCAGTGTGGCCAAAAAATAGAAAATGAACCAAAGGCAGAATGCTTTGGTCCTGGGAATTGGGTCACTGAGAAGCCACATGTAGGAGGCTGTGGTTACCATAGGCCCCCATTCCCAGCAGTGGCTAAGTTAATGCTATTTTAATGATGTCTGCCCTACATCAAGATTAGCTTGGAAAACTGGTGCCGGCCAGCCTTCGGATAGCCTTTCCTCTTTTGTCTCACAACACAAGAGTAGAGGAAAGCAGGATACACTGACTTGATTGGCTCTGAGGATGTATACAGTCATTCTCCCCTCACAGGCCTTTTAATTCCAACCAGAAGACCACCTCCCGCCCTCACTGCCCAAACCCTCAGTGACTATATAGTGTCCAGTCTCAGAGACTGCTGCTTCTGCCTCTTGGGAACCCCCAGCCCGTTCCCTTAGAGCACGGGTGGCCTTAGAGGACCCTGGTCTGGTCCCCTTGCTTCTCTTGAGAAAATCTGATCCCACTTCTGTTTCATCAATCCACCTAGGTCTTTCATTGCAGACAAATTCATTACCTGCCTGGTGCTTTCCTGACAGCCCAAGAGCGATGCCTTCTCTTCTGCCTGGATTTTGCTGAGTAGTGCAAGCCTCTGTTCTCAGTTAATCAGCTTAGCATCTGTTGTCGCGCTTTCTGGGTGAAGAACCATCCACTTCCATTTCCTGGTCCCTTGCCTTCTCCCCAGAGACCCTCATATTGGAAGTGTTTCTGGTTCCAGGCTATCTACCACAAGGGAACACCGTTTTGTCCAGAGTAATGTGGTTTGCTAGCTTCAGTCCAACCTAGAAATTATAGGAGGGGTAAAATCCCATGAAAAGGCAGGCCCTACAAAAGCACTAAAGTGTATTTAAACCAAAACCATCCAAAAATAGTTTTGATTGAGTGTGGCAGTGGCTTATTGATTTATCCAATAGAAAGAAAAAACTATCTTTCTTCCTCACTCTGGTCCTCTTGCCTTTTGCTAAACCCAGCATTATCTTCCTAATGAATAGATTTCAGCTCTGCAGCTTGGCTAATGGAAATCTCAAGAGTAGGAGGGTCCTTGGTACATTAATCAAAAGCTGAGCATCAGTATGAATGCACCTTAATCCCAGCGCCCTCCCCACCCAGGCCCTCTGTCATAGCAAGGTGACAGTTGTTGAAAAGAGCTGGGACATGGGAAGCATTGATACTTGAGGAGATGAATGAGCAGATTTAATCAAAAATAAGGATATTCAAATTCAATCTGATAAGTAGGAAGGCTATTAAAGAGTAAGCTGTTGAGGGGCTTCACTGGTGGTCCAGTGGCTAAGAATCTGCCAGTCAATGCAGGGGCCATGGGTTCGATCCCTGGTCCAGGAAGATCCTACATGCTGCAGAGCAACTAAGCCCATGCGCCTCAACTAATGAGTCTGCGCTCTAGAGCCAGAGAGTCAACACTGCTGAGCTCAAGTGCCACAACTACTGAAGCCTGGGCACATAGAGCCTGTGCTCTGCAACAAGAGAAGTCACTGCAATGAGAAGCCCGAGTACCGCAGCTAGAGACTATCCCCCACTCCCCACAGCTAGAGAAAAGCCCACACAGTGAGACCCAGTGCAGCCAAAAATAGATCTTTTTTTTTTTAAGTATAAAATATTCTTGAGCAAAACAATCAAGAATTGCAAATATTTAAATAACAAATTATTGCTAATTTTCTACACACTTTCTTAATGTAGTTAAATACCTATCAGGGAGTCACTGAATAAAAAAGTGGAGTCCCCTTCTTGCTTTTGTCTCTTCCAGCAACTACCCTGACCCTCTGCTTTCCTATTCCAATCACACGCAACCTTGATCCCTAAACTTCAGCACTCAAGAGCTGCCACTCTGCAACAAAAATTTCGCTTCAGCTTGTAAAGCCTGAGTCAAAACACATGCTTTCTTCATCAGATGTAGAAGGAGGAAAATAGCTATTTTTGTCTCTGGGGTATAAAGCCATAAGCAATCCATTTTCCAGTATTACCACACCTACTTAACCCGCTGTTGCAGACAATGAAATGAATTTGCTGCCTACAAGGCACTGTGATGGAGTATGTAGAGATAAAGCTTTAAAGAGTAAAAATTACATTTTTGGAGCATCTCCGATGTGAGAGATGCAGTGAGCTAAGCCCACTGCCCATTTTTGATATGGTAAAATACAAAATTTTACAGTCACATTACCAAAAAAGCATTTTCACGGAGAACCAATAGAGTGAAATGAGTATGAGAAGAATAAAAACAGTAGTCATAAGGGAGTTCAGGGAAAAGAGAAAGACTGGAAAAAGCTGAGCCGCCTCTGTACCTTTCTCTGGAGCTCACCTGTGTAGGCGCCCAGTTTGCTGAGCCCTTGGCCCATCATAGGAGGGGAACGTGTGGATTAAGTAAGCAGGGGCCTGGGAGCCACAAAACTTGGGCTTCATTTCAAGCCTCAACTTAATACCTAGTAATTAGCCTCCAACTAATAAAAATAAATGGAAAAAAAAAAAACTTAATACCTAATGAGGATCTTGGACAAGTCATGCAGCCTCTCTTGGCCTCATCTTCCTCACCTGTGAAATGGGTAAGCAAATGAAATGATGGAGGTGAAATTATCTCACATGAGGATAAAACATTTGAAATCACAATATCCCCTGATAACTGCTAGCCCTCTGCCCTTGTCTTCATTTCCCTCCCAAATGTTTTATAAATAAATGACATTATTATAAATTAGATCACCTTTAGAGTATCTTAACTGGAGGAGGAAATGACAACTCAGTCCAGTATTCTTGCCTGGGAAATCCCATGGATGGTAGAGCCTGGCAGGCTACAGTCCATGGGGTCACACAAAGGAGCCGGACACAACAGAGCATGCGCGCGCACACACAGAGTATCTTAAAGCACTGAAAACCCCACGTTCCGGAAAAGACAGACTAAGTCTTCCTGTTTCCTTTGCTCCTCATCCTAATTCAGTTGATACTTTATAGAAGCTGGTCATCACCAGTTCAAGACACAAGTGATTCTTTCCCTAGAAAGGAATTCACAAGATGGTGCTTTACCATTGCCTGGAAACTGTCACTCGTAAATTTAGCGTGCTCGGCACCAAATTCCAAGTTTCAGTTATTTCTCCACCCCCCTCCCCCAACCCATCATGATGTTATTTTCCTTGGGTTGGAAATAAACCCACCAGAACATTTTGTTTTAATTTTTAAAAGTCAGACTCACTGGGCTACTCTAAGGCTTTCCAGCCGACTTTCAGATTATAGACAGCCCAGAACAAGAATATCAGGGCTGGTGTTTGTAACCTTTCTCACACTGATGACTTATTTGGCAAATAGGAAGTATTTTGTTAGCATCATTGTCCTATGAAAGACACTGTACGGGATGCAGACACTATCTATAAGATGTGTGTGTGCTTATACAATCAACGTTACGAGGAAGAGAAGTAATTTTGACCAGAGCGATTGAAGCAAAGCTTGTGGCTAAAATTCATCTCAGGAAAAAGGGCTGGACACCACTTGGCCTGGGGAACCGTCAGCAGTGTTTACAAGATGCAATAGCAAATTCCGGTCATGACCCATGAGCTGTTTAGATTTCAGCCGGAATTAAAACCCACAGCACGGGAGCACCATGTCATGGTCTTAGCTCTAATTTGAAGTGCTGCTTATGAGAGCCTCACCGTTTCTGTGGACCCCTCCTGAAGATCTCTGGGATCCTTCGGGCAAGAGACGTGACAGGAAAGTCCACACGCTAGCTCAGCTCACCACGGCTCAGTTTGCCCAGAGCAGTCAGTCGATCAAAAGGCTGTGCTTGGCGGAGGACCCACCACCATCGTCCTGCCAAATGGTCTGTCGTGACTCAGAATCTCAAACTTGTTTTAAAGGGAGGGGGAAAAGTCACTTTCAGGGATGAGGTTCTTGGCCCAACTCTGCTTCGTACAAACACAGTCTATGTCTATTTTGGTATTCTGAGTTTTTGAAGCAGCTGTAGAGGCAAGGGTGGCAAGGGTGGATGGATTGGTGTTGGCCCAAATCAAAACGAAGAGTTCTCCATCCTTTCAGTGCTGGGGGATGGAAAACTGAGAGCACCACCTCATAGGGACTAGCATGTGACAGGGCTGCCCAAAGGGAAATAAGTGTGGACATCCATTCACAAAAGAACCATTTGCAAAAGCCCAAACTTGTACAGATCAATATCTTTGTTAGGGGTAAGAATCCTTACTCTACAGAAGGATAGAATTTTGATCATGTTGACGCAGAATGTCTAGTATGTTAAGACTATTAATATAATTTATTAAACATCGATCTGCCTTGTTTTTTGAGGGGACATGGCTCAGACAGTAAAGAATCTGCCTGCAAAGTGAGAGACCCGCTTTCCATCCCTGTGTTAGGAAGCTCCCTGGAGAAGGGAGTGGCAACCCACTCCACTATTCTTGCCTGGGAAATTCCATGGACAGAGGAGCCTGGCATGCTAATAGTCCATGGGGTCACAAAGTGTTGGAAACAACTAAGCGACTAGCACTTTCACTTTTTTTTTCACACCCATTATGGAGCTCAGTAGTAAAAAATCCACAG